GAAGAAATGTTCCACTCAATTCCATAGATGAGTGAACTATCTTCAAGGTCTATAACTTTATACAGTTAACACTGAAGAAATGTTCCACTCAATTCCATAGATGAGTGAACTATCTTCAAGGTCTATAACTTTATACAGTTAACACTGAAGAAATGTTCCACTCAATTCCATAGATGAGTGAACTATCTTCAAGGTCTATAACCTTATACAGTTAACACTGAGGAAATGTTCCATTCAATTCCATAGATGAGTGAACTATCTTCAAGGTGTATAACCTTATACGGTTAACACTGAGGAAATGTTCCATTCAATTCCATAGATGAGTGAACTGTCTTCAAGGTCTATAACCTTATACAGTTAACACTGAGGAAATATTCCATTCAATTCTATAAATGAGTGAACTATCTTCAAGGTGTATAACCTTATACAGTTAACACTGAAGAAATGTTTAATTCAATTCTACAGGTCAGTTTCTCTAAACATAAACAAGTAGCCTGGAGGAAATGTTTCATTCCATTCAGGAGATCAGGATTTCACTCTACAGACCATATAAATATGTTAAATGATTCCAACTTTAAACGTTATAACTTTCAGGAAATATTCCATTCTGTAGTTATATTAATCACTTTCAAAGTCTCTTAACTTTTAATAGTATTATTTGGGAAACGTTTCATTCGAGTTGATAGATTAGTAACTTTGAATAAGTATTATATCTTGTAGTCCAGTAAAATAAGTTCAAAATCTTTACATTTGCACCAATAATTTTGTACAAATGTTCCTTTTCGATTTGATAGAGCAGTGAAAAAATTCAGTCTCTTAATTTCATATTAGTAACCTCTAGTAAATGTACCTTTTGGTGATCCTATATTGATAAACTTAAGGAAGACCCGGCATGGCCAGGTGGTTAGGGTGCTCGACTCGCAATCTGCGGGTTCGAATCCCCATTACACCAAACATGCTCGCCCTTTCAGCCGTGGGGGCGTTATAAAGTGATGGTCAATCCAACTATTCGTTGGTAAAAAAGTAGCGCAAGAGTTGTCGGTGGGTGGTGATGACTAGCTGCCTTCTTTCACTGCTAAATTAGTGACGGCTATCACAGATAGCCCTCGTGTAGCTTTGCGCGAAATTCAAAACAAACTTAAAGAAATACAGGTATTCTATTCAATCCGTAAAGATGAATGGTACCAAGTTCGCGTTCAAAAAAGTGAACTAGTAACCTGGAGAGAATCTTGCATTTGATTCTATAGATCAATACGTTCAGGATTTTTGAAATTATACTTATAATCTTGAAGAAACGTTCCATTTGATAGATGAGTGAAATAAGTTGAACAACCTTTAATACATGTTCCATCCAATTCGATAGATCAATGTAATATATTCAAGGTCTTTTTCCTTACATTAATCATCACGAAGAAATTCATAGGTAAGTGAAATACATGGAAGATCGCCTATTGGTTACTAGTAATTTGATAATATTTTTCATTCGACAGACCAACAGAATATGTTTAATAACGTTTGTGAAATATTGCATTCTATTCAATAAATCATTAAAATAAGTTACAGGTATCTAATCTTAAGCTGATAACCTTGAGGATATTGTTACGACAACAGAAGTAACGTGACTCTGGTAACACGTGTTGAGTTTCTAGAAGGATCGAATGTTTGCCAGACGCTCTCTATTTTTGCCCTATATAAGCCCGGCAAATAAAGCGGAGAAGAGAAGTGACGGCATAGAGAATTGCAGATAGAGAGAGACAGATAATCGAGTCAAGTCGTAAGTAAAGTGCGTGAATCGTTGTGAATTATAGCGTGTGTTAAAGTTAAAGTGACTGTGGAAATTAAGTGTATTGCAAAGTTGTATTGAGAAAGAATAAACTAGTTTTATTTAAGAAAGGACTTGTATCGCTGAAGTTCTTCGGAAAGAATTTTTACGAGTAATTAACAAACGACCAAAGACGTAACAATATGCTTCATTCATAGATGAATGTAATACGTTTAAGGTATAATTTTATGCTAGTAATCTCTTTCATGGATCAGATAAATACATTCAAAATCCGAAAATTTATACATTCAAATGTTTATTATGATTGAATAGATTACTTAAATATGTTGAAATTCTCTAACCTTATGAGGAAAAGCGAGCTGCGTTCCCCTTCATTAAAGCGGCCACCCCTTTATATCATCAGGTACGACGTGCTACCGTCAAAGTGAATTATATTTAACTTTTGTTCATGTGAACCCCCCCCCCCCCAAAAAAATACTGGCGAATGGGCTCGAATATGGGTGGTCAAAGTGTGACAGTTTTTTTTGAACAACTCTGATCCAAGGTAAATATATATTTTTTGTTTTTTATATAGTTACAAAGTAGGTATTCCAAGTTCACTATTGATTTCAAACAATGAAGAATAACAGACCGCCACATGCCATAAAAACCACATTTAACGTTCATTGGCTTTGTTTAATGAGCAACTGTTTTACGATGAACGGCTTAGGGTAAAAATGGGCCACGGCTCGTGGGGCTGTCTTACTCCACACCAATGACGTATAACTTCGTCATAGTCTTGCCACAATGTACTGTTACGTATCTACTTGTCT